AAATCCAGAATGCTAACACTGCGGGGCTTAGAGGCTGGCAGTTCTGACTTAAAGTACTGCCAGTCCTCCCTTCCCCTACTTGTCTCTCTGACTGTGATGTACCACCCTTGTCCTCACAGCGACACAACTCTTCTTCAGCTCTGCTATAAACTGAATGGAGACGGTGATCTGGCAAGAAATACCAGAGGCAGGGGCAAGTGCTTGATTTCTTTTTGCTGGATCAGTTCCCCCACGTGGCTGGCTGAAGGGAAAGGGGCAGAACAGGGTGATGGCAGAAAAGGGAGCTGTGGGACATGGCCATCCATAATTCAGTACCGGCACCAAATACTTTAAACCACTACATCACAACTTTATTCACGGACATCTAGTCATTACCTCTACAGAAATAATACCTAAATAAACACATAATTAAATTTTAAAAATAGTATTAATAGTTTCTTCTTGGGAATAAATTAATCATTCATAAATGATTGCAGAAAATCCGATCAAATATTTATAGTCTAAATTAGAAGCGAGACTGCAGTTGGTTAATTCTGGAGCATAAATCAAGCTGGACTCAGATTTTCCTCATCACTTGAGAGAGCCCACATCACGCCACACAGTCGGTAGCTATCCAAACCAAAGCCCATTCTTCGTAGAAAAAATAACAATAATTGTTAGTGGTTCAAGGAACCTCACAGTAACAGACTAGCAGAATGTGAAAGCCAAATGAAAGACTAGGGCAAAGGAAGAACGTTCAGTTTCCAGAGGCGCTTTCAATGCAGTAATAAGCTGAAGTAAGTAGGTTTTTGTCCCCTCTAATTTTGAAAAACCTAACATGGGGCTTAAAATAACATTTTTACAATGATAATTTTGTTGTTTGGGTTCTGATTGCTTTTTAAACCTACTATTCATTAAAATATCTGCTTTTTTTTCCTCCACCGACTCAGTCTCTTGGTTATAGACAATTACTGGTGCTTTTGTCATTCCTGTGTCCTGCTGGAGAACTAGCTCAGCAACATTTGTGTACCCAAATAAAGCAAGTAAGCCTTGCTTCATGCCACGATGTATTCCTTACACAGACAAAATAAAAGGAGAAATCCCAGCTCTGCCAAAGTGAATGGAAACAAATCACACCTCAAATTCAGTAGCGTGAAGATTTGACCTCAGCTTTTTTTGCATCCAGGAGTGCCAGACTGAGCCCATCTGGAGTGTCTCCTGTGCCATTCAGCTTGACTTGTGACATGATGCATGCACAGAGAGATTTGTGAATACAAATGCTTGGTTCTGAAGTCTAACATAATCAAAGTCAAGAATATATACTTAACTGATCATCAAATAATGTGCCCTTGTTGCAACTTCAAATGCGGTTCTGCAAAGGAGGTTCGGGAGTGACACTAAATTAGATAACAACCTGTGCTCTTAATTACTTTTCTTGTTACAGTTAATGAGAAAAACACTTCCAACTTCTGAGCATGCAGACTCACACTGAGATATGAGGAACAAACAGATTAATTTCATTAGCACACATTGCCATCTATAATAAAGCTGTAACAGGCCAAATGCTCTAATTTACACTCCTGAAACTCAGTCTCCCTCCAGTCACACTGTTGTTACACTTTCTGGATGCCAAGAAGGGAAATGGATCTGGCAATTGTCACTGTATGGAAGCGCAAACAATTTTTCCCTTAACCACATCGGCTTTGCAGATCCACCAAGAGTATAAAATGGTAAAAACTTACTTCAGTCATTAAAGAGATCTGACTCACCAAAAAGGAATCGCTACATTGAGTTAGGAGACATCAGTTGACATAGTTACTAAACTGATTGCCAGAAGCTGGGAAGTTAGCAACTAGCTTTATTTTCTAAGCAGTTTTTTCCCTAATTTGCTACTAATGGCTCTTGCCAGAAGGAAGTTGCTCAGGTAGATGACTCTTGAGACCTAGTACGGCAGTGTTTGTGGTTTTGAAATAGATCCATACTTTTACTAGCATCACCAGCCACTATCAATTAGATCATCAGATGATAATAATTTAATGTTGTGGTGCCTGAATTGCCATCTGTGGCAATATCTTAGCATCATGCACACTTTAATTTTTCCCTTAACACAATGCCTGCTTTAACTCTAGCTCTTGAAGAAATGAATGGAAGTTACAGGGCACTGTGACTGAAATTAAAGTTAAAAATTCAATGGCAGCAGGAGTCTAAAAATTACAAGAACATCACTAAGTACTTGAAAATATGTTCAGTTTTAACAAATAAAGAGAAACTACCCATTCAAGTATGGGAAGGGGCAAGAAGCTTCCTTTAACAAATTTCTCAGTGTAGCACCAAATAACTAGTCAGAACATACCTGTAGAAAAAAGAATCAAGAGTCACTTCTCAGGTGATGCAAATGTAAAGCCGAGATCTCTAAAATCTCCTTAGCCTGAGCCTGCTTACAAGTATTGCTAGCCAAAGCCAAGTCTGTGAAATCACAAACATATGACAATTTTCCTTCCTGCTGCTAGAAACTCTGCCTAATCTCCCAGCAAGTGGTCCCATTTGGCTCGTACTCAAAGCCTGAAAGAGATCCCAGTTTCCTATAGCTTAATATAATTTGTATGTCAATTCAGCGAACAGAGGCATTACAAGAAGCCTCCTGGCACGCTTACACCTTTGCAGGCGTGCGTACACCTGACGCAAACCGAGGAGCAAGGCCCACGGCATGCGCTATTTCTGTGCTCTTTACCTGGCTGTCTAGCCCATCCCCTCACGGAAAGGGAGCGCTCGTGTAGTACCGTGGTCTGGTCTTTGTGCGAGCACACAGATCCCAGCACCGAGCAGTACGCGCAAACCCTTCACGTTACAAATCAGCAGCTTGCTCCCAGAATCTCAGCCAACACTAGATCAAGCCACATGAGGTGAAGCCATGGGTAATAAGCCGTTAGATTTACTTCGGTTTCTCCTATAGCTATTTTATAGCTTTTTTAACCTGCCTTAATTAAATTCATTCTTTAAGCTTATCTTAATTAAATTCACCCTGGAACATAAAAACCTCTCCATTTCCACGGAACTGGAAATGGCTCTTTTTAGGCCAGCAAGACTTGCCTTGAGGCACTTACTAGAGCTAGGACAGGAATCAGTGCTTATAGCTTATAGAGATTGTTTTATTATCATGCTCAGTGAGTTTGCTCAATGAGATTCATACCACACTTCCATTGTGCCAATGTTTGGTTTTTTGAGCAAAAAAGGTTTGTAAATACTGGCCCCAGAGTATTATCTGCAAGCCAGTGTTCTGTTTTAAACACAAAAACAACAGATGCTACTTTCCTTGTGCACCTAAATAATTGCAAGTACTGAGTGGTGCTGCTCTTTACAGTACTCAACAACATTTGATCTGTGAAAGTATTTCTAATCACCATGTCCAACTCACGTGATGGTTTGTGTTCAGATGTAGAATCCTCTTTGCAGAAAGCAGATCTCACAACGAAATCCAATCAGCAATCACTATTAATGGTACCAGCAACAGTTTCTTGTAGTGCTTGTGACACTGGGTGGAGAGTACACGTGAGGCAGAGTCAACAGCTGAGGGTTTTAACAAGATCTTGTGACGAAAGAGCAAAGAACCAGGAATCGCGAGACATGAATTCTCTTCCAGGGGCCTCAGTAAAATTACTGCATAAGCCAAGGCAAGCCATCAAATCTATAGCCAAAGTTAAGCAAGTCAGGCTGAAATATGAAGCGTTGTTTTTAATGTTTCTAATTCAGTGAAGTCCTAATCTGTGATAAGAGCCTCATGAAACTGTTGTAGAAATTAATCTAATAATTAAGAACACAAGGAATCACTGCAAAAAACAGGCAGCGTGGTTAGTTGGTTTTGGTGTATAGGAAAGCTGTTGGTTTTTTTTTAATTTTAACCTGGGTTTGTACTTTTCTCTTTATCGTGTCAACATTTGCAACAATAAAAGGGCATTATGTGCTGGTCATTGCATCTGCTTTTGAGATAAATCTGTGTTAGCATTCCAGAAGGTCAAGGAACTCTTCCAGGGCAAATGAATTCTGGAGCACTGTTGCCAGATGGTGTGTATATAAAGTGAAAATGAGGAAAGCACTTTACTGTCTTCCTGTTCCAGGGAGAAGTATCACCCAGAAGGAAAGCAAAGCAAAAGAGGTGAGAAACTACCAAGAAATTAGAGAGACAGTTTTTTTCTTCTGTAACATGTTATTTTCTTTGTGTCGGAAAAGTCTAGGTACATAGAGGAGCTGCCGTCCTTATTCAGGCAAAATTATTGCAAAAAGATAACAGGAATATTTAACTGAAGAATGAAGGGTTAAAATAATAATATATATAAAGAATTATGCATTGATTTATGTAAGAGGTTCTAGATTTATCTATCTCACTAATATGTAATCAGTGATTACAGAAATTTCAGTCCCACAGACAAAATGCCTTTATCTTGCATTTTTGACCAAACTCTACAAAAGAGACAGAAAATAATGGATCCAATTCTGAAGTACAAATTAGCGTAGCCTCACCAAAGGCCAGTTATCCATGAAATTTATCCAGCTCAGATGCTGACCACTACTAATACAGCTCACTTGCAACTGTATTAAATGTGTAATTTCCAAGTGTTGCAAAATATCTCTGCAAGTTTTAGAACTAATCACTCTTCTCTCCAAATCTAATGCAGCAGAGGAATGTCTCTTGGAAGGGTTCAAAGATAAATTCAGGTTGGTGTAAGAAATTTAAAATAATTTTCTTAACTACTGAAGATTATATTGTGTTTTCATAAGTAGCCTGAGCTATTGATGGTTTTTATCACTTGTCACCAAACCTCAGAAATGTGTAGCAGAAATATTCAGATACCGGCACAGAGAAAGGGAGAATGTGTGTTTTAATATTTATGTTTGCCTCTTTGTGGAGCATGTTTCGTTTGGTTACACAGGTAGCTTTTTTTAAGTAGTCCCCTCTTTTAATGTTATGGCTTCTCCCAGAAATGAAGGATATCAATAAAGATTTCTCTCCATACAGGAAAAAGAACTGGACAACAATGCTGAGGTTTGCTGTCACCCTCTTTGCTGTCATAACGTCATCTACCTGCCAAAAATATGGATGTCTGAAAGGGGGCACCCACAAACTGAAGCCAAGTCCTGAGCCACATATGCGTGAATGCACTCTCTACTCTAAATGTAAGAGTGGTTTGAATTTCCCAAATGTAGTCTAGAAGTACAGCTCTGTGCACACTGACTGTTTTGACAGTTCCCTTAATTTCTCAAAAATATATAAGATGCAGGATATGTTGCCTTTGAAAAGCTTCCTGCATTGGCATTTTGCTGCATGCAGACCAAGAGTAAGATTCTAGTTCTTAACAAAGTCAGCTGCAAAACTCTCATTGATGTTATTTTCTTTAAAATTCTTTAATTTCTCTTTAAAATTCTGATACAGTTTACTTTTATTATATCTCCATCTGCTTTAAAAAGTTTACAGCAAAGATGAATTTGGTTTATTGTGATGAAGTATAAAAGCTAATTAATTGTAGCAGACATCAAATGGGAAAAGTTGCAATCAAAATTCTATAGTGAGCGAAGTATAGCATTTCCTACTTTTTCCTCAACTCTTTTTGTGTTTGGTAGCTTTCAGAGTTAGTATCCCTCAGGATATAACATCTGGCAGAACACTACTACAATTCTTGAGGCTCTCTGGGCACAGCTTGAAAAGCACTGTTGATGCCAGTCCCTCTCACTTAGCATTTACACTGCTGCTTCGAAAACCAAAAATGTTAGTGCTTGAGCACATCTTCTAGTTAGCGCTAAGAGACTTTACCATGTTACAGACCAAAACAGATTCATCTTACACTTCAAGTCTTGCAAATATAGTATTAAAGAAAACCCTTATTGCAAGATCTCTGTTTCATTCCTAACAGCTTCCTGTTGCTACGCAGACTTCACAGAGCAATTGGCTCATTCCCCAGTAATTAAAGTAAACAACAGCTACTGGAACAGATGTGGGCAACTCAGTAAATCGTAAGTCAGCTTTGATGTTGTCTCTGTCCTGGTTCAATAGACGGGTGCTACAGCAGCCACTCAGCTAATGGGAACTGGAGTTGCTGGTGGACAATCATTAGGTTGCCCTAGAGATTGTGCCACCCAGCCTGGCTGCAATCATCTTTTCTCTCTACCTGACCAAAATCTGATTTTATTTCTTCTCCTCTCACAAAAGCCCATAAATCCCACCACGCCACACCTCTGTAGCTCTAGTCAATATAGGCCAAGCGTCTTCCTTTGTTTAGAAAGTGGATCCACTAGATTATTAAATTTCGCAAACAAAATGCGTAAGAACCCAGAAATGAAACTTCTGCATATTTAGAATAAAAATTCTTGTAGTCCTGTGGGTTTTGTAATCATGAAGAATGTCTTCATAATTAAGATTTTTAGTATCCTGTTAGATGCTTGAGCTGTGAAACATGGCAAGTCATAGAAATAAAAGAATGAAAGTACAAAACAATTAAGCAAAAACAGATGTGCAAAAGTAACAGCTATAGCCTGCCGCTCCCAGAAGAGCAGCAACAGTTCGCGCTTTTAAGTAACTTCAGCTGGGTGGTGGGAAAATCTAAAAATCAGTGAAAACAAGAGGCTACAGCACAGAAGAAGTTTTGTACTATAGTTTTAAACTACATTTTATTATTGCCTGGAATCATTCTTGCCAGGAAAACTCAAGGCCTCAAAAGTTTACAGAAAGCTTACACAAATAGGGCTGAAATATGCATGGAAACATTTGTGCACTCTTTCGCTGGCTATGGTAATTGCATGGTCAGAGTCTGCACACAATGCCAAAGGAATGAGTTTGGAACCTAGACACTAACAGGGCAAAAGGATGTTTTCTGTGTTTTTCTCCTGGTCTGTACTATTGCATCCACATCAAAGCAGGCCTAGAAAACTGAGGCGAGAGCCTTGATGCTAAGAAACAGGCTTATTTGTGGCTTTTCTCACCCACCACAGCTGTGAAGATTTCACAAAGAAAATTGAATGCTTTTACCAGTGTTCTCCATATGCTGCTCGCTGGATCCATCCCAACTACACTGCTGCTATTCGGTCTGTTCCACTGTGTCAAAGCTTTTGTGATGACTGGTAGGTTCAGCTTTTTATCAAAGTATTTTTGTTTAGCTTACTATGCCTGTGTTGTTAGGGTGTCAACCAGCACCGGTTGGTGAAGCACAGGTCTCACAATCAAGTGGCATTCAATGGTGTTGCACCACCTTTATGCCTTTTCTCTTGTTCTTCCTCTTCATTTCTTGTTTGCCATCTCTACTTTTTCCTCTGCTGAGCCACTACCCCCAAAATAATGACAACAGAGGCTGAATGCCGGATGGAGTCACTGGAGTTTAGTGACTCTGGGCCAGCACTGCCCTGCTCTCCATGAGGATGCAGCTCAGTAGCATCAGACCTGCTCGATGTGACGGAGGAGCTCTTGCCACGTTGACAGCCACTGACAGAAGAGAGGGCCTGCCCACCCTTTGAAAAGTCTATGCCTGTGAGTTAGCATTTATCCAGACAGAAGTTTAAACCTAAATACTTTATCATGTTATCATACATTCCTTTTGTATGTGTAAGATCATAGGATCATAGAAAGGTTTGGGTTGGAAAGGACCTTAAAGATTATCTAGTTCCAAGCCCCTGTTCCAAAGCCCTGTCCAGCTTGGCCTTGACCACTTCCAGAGAGGAGGCACTCACAGCTTCTCTGGGCAACCTGTGCCAGTGCCTCACCAGCCTCACCGTGAAGAACGCACTACAAAATCATGAAAGCAGCCACTTCCTGTATGTTTTCAGTGAATTCATATAACAAGTTAGCTAAACTCCTTAATTTTTCACCCTTGGCCTTTTCTGTTCCCTTCCATCATCCTCTCTAAAATCACTTCTAAACTTCAGAGAAGCTTGCAGCCCAGTAATGCTAAAATATTAATAGCAATAAACAAGCATAATAGCATTTAATTTTATTTCCCAAAAATACAGCATGAGGTGATCACGTTATGTTTTGAGTGCAAGACATGTAGTGGAACAACCCAGCACCCATCTGTCTTTGGTCTTGGGGTAGCAGGATTACATGCAGGTGGAGTACTGAGATTTTTTCCAGTGGTCCATATCCAGCATGTAAATCTCCCTCCCTCCTTCCCTGTTTTGAGATGTTGGATCTTAACTAATGTCATCACGTAACAGAGAAATCTCAGTCAGTACCGTATTAATGTTGTGCCTAGTAACTACAGTAACTTGTCTGTATGATTAAATTGGTGTGAAGCGTAGTACAAACAGCACAGGCTGTGTTCACACTGTAGGATTAGAACTGCTAACATCCCTTGAAGTAATGAACTGTGAATGCCTGAATGCCTTAGGCTGCTCTGAAAATCACAGAAAACTGTTTTAATACTTCTAAAAATGTTACAAAAGAGCTTTTCTTGGAAGCTTAGAAAATACAGAACACGTGGTAGCGCATGGTCAGGTTCTCTTGTGCTGCTCTGTACAGTGCTTGAATATTGTTGACACATGGTTCCATTTCAGTTCTCACAGAATCAGAGAATCTTCTCTCTTGGGGCAGTCAGTGCAGTATTCTGGTAGAATTTGTCTTTCAATATGTCTCCATTGCTTTGTGCAAGAGAAATAAACCAGAAGTATAGCTCAGATTTGTAATGGAAGAGGGTAAGAAGGGTTGATGTATTTCATAGCTTCCCTAGAGTTTTCTGTAGTGATGAATTTTATTTCTGTGTCAGGAAACTAACTCCATGTGCCTCAGGAACAGATTTGTCATGTACCATTTTCCGTCCTAAATTTTTGGTAATCTTCTAAACTGAATCCAGATTATTGACCTCCTTGAAGATAAAGACTGAGACTTTGAATTTGTCTCAGTGCTCAGAATCTCAAAGCTCAGAACCAAATATTAACAAAATTTGAAAACTTTTGGATATTAAAGTGTTGGAGTTGCCAGTGATCTTTAGAATAGATCTGACAGGCAAAGCAATAGAATACCAGTATCTAAAACAAAAGTATCACGAACTAAGTCGTGTGCAAAGTCATCACCAAACTGCTATATCCAATGAAAGTGTAAAGATGAAATAAAAAACACCCTGTAAATTTAGTTTACATCTGTGAACCGGTTTAAGTCAGCCCTAGTATATATGAGATTTATACCAAAGTGTATGTTAAAGGGTAAATATTACACAGCAAAACCCTCAGTGTCCTCTGGGTATTGGCAGAACCTCTAGATCAACATGGTTTTTAACTGTTCTTGTTGGAAAGTATTGGGGGGAGTGACTGAGAGCTGCTGCACAGGAAAAACTGACCCTTTTCCAGCGTAGTCTCCTGGCACAGAGTACGCTCGACTCTAAACAAGTACTGAACAATGATCTATTGCTCCTGTTGGCGTCATAGATGCCTGGCCTGAATCAAAATTGTAATGATGACCTGTTAACATGCATGCTAGTCTGTGTGCCTGACTAATGCCAATGTCAGCCCCATTCCCTCACGCTGCTTAAGGCCTAAGGCTAGAAAAGAGCCTGGACAGAATTGCCACTCTTTCTGGTGATTTAAAGTAACATTTTCTTCGTGTTCTATTCACTAGAGTCCCTTCAGCGTGCTGTAACACTGCTAGTGATGTGACCTACTTTCTCTACATGCTGTGAGTGTGCCTGCTGCATACTGTATGTCTTTGTGGCCAGAAATGTGCAGAGGATTCTGAATGAGCAGTGACTTCATGTAAAAGTAATTCATCTGACTAGCTTGGGGCCTTCCTTTTCTTCCTATTGTCTTAGGATTCCTTGCTCCCACTAGTCCTAAAACTATTGTTTTTGAAAGAGCCCAATGTACATGCTATTTTGTGATCCACCTGTGAAAGGGCCCTGTGCCCCTTAAAAGAGAAACAGCTAGTTACAAAAGTGGAAGAAAAAAGCTTTGACATAAAAATATCCTGGCCTAGTTAGTATGTTCAGGGAGGATCTTCTAAGTATTTTATGTTTATGTTTCTCATAGGCTTTAATTAATGTTTGAAGAAACCACTTATAGGTTTCTAGACAGCAGAAATCAGACTTTTCATAAGTCACAAATTTTCATAAACTTATCTTCATAATTACTTCTGTTGAGATAAACTCATAACAAGAGAGTTTTGCCTTGCTACCTGCTTATATAATGAACCACAGAGACATTTCATCTGACAATTCATTAGATAATAGTGAATAAAAATATAAAGGCTTTTATAAACTTATGTAATTCAAATTCCTGAGGAAACCAGAGGCATTGCATGAATGACCCAGTTCAGTAAAACTCTGAAATACATACTGATAATTTGAAAAGTATAACTGAAGGTAACACCAATTTCCAGAGAACCAGTTCTGCCATCTCCTCAGCCCCACAGGCTGCTCATTCCTTCCCCTGCTCTGTCCCCACCCACATGGCAGCAGCCCTGTCTCAGAGGCCATGAAGCAACCCTGGTGTGGGAGCCCATCAAGCTCAGAAATACTTTGGCAAATAAAAACAAGAAACCAAAAAATAAGACTGTGGGAAGGACACAGTTGCTGTAAGTGGAAGCTCTAGTATTAGGCAGTTCACAGCAGATACCGATCGATTTGGCTAGAAAGCAATGAATTAAGTGTGTGCGTAAACGACGTGCCTACACGGCCTGAAGAATCAAGGCTAAGTGTTGAATCTGATGCTGGTACGTGGAGAGCTCAGAGATGGTGACTAACAAAAAGTTTGCCCTGGTGCTCCCAGCCACACTGCCTTCAGGCTGGCAAAGTGACGAGCATTAGCGAATCAGCTGCTGTCACTGGGGAGTCACCTCCGTGTGTATTTCTCAGAGTTCCCGCAGCAGCTAACAACCCACAAGCCAATTATTCTTACAGTCCCTAGTCCCAAATCCAGTCACGGCACAAGCTGGTAGGATCTGCCTATTAGTGTCACATTATAGTGATTTATCAAATTGCAGCCTGTGTTTCCAGCACAGCCCTTACCTATGACAGCAGATTCGTGGATGAATACATCTGAGAATATGTGACTCCTGCCCTAGACCTGTTTAATTCTTATAGTTCTGTGACCACATGACCTCATATTTCTTTTAAAAATATAAGTCTGCAGCCCTCTTCATAGAAAATATTTTTGGAAACGGGTCCCTGAAGATTAAAAATTATAAACAGAAAAATATAGCCAAAGGCTTTACTTATAAATACCGTGCTGAATGACAGTAACTTTCTGAAAGCTGTGCCTCATGGTTTTGGCACTCTCAGTTACTGCTGTGAACAGTCCGCCTGAAGCAATTGAGACTAAATTTAAGTATATGATAACTGATTTGCAGAAAGGGAATCTTAGGAAAGGTAAGAGCCAAAAAGTAGAACACAAAAAAAAGTGGAAGGAAGGAAATTGTGTCATGAGATCTCTCATCACATAGACCAGCCAGTTGCATACTGTACTCATTCCAGGCTGTTTATAGGCTTTTTTTTACATTACTACTATCAAGTTAAATTAAAATTTAAAACTTTAGACCTATACCCTACAAAACTCTTATCTTTCCTTCTTCACTTCAAGTTTAACTTCTTTCAAAATATTGTTCTAGAGTTAACCGACTATTAGTTTATATGATTTTGTCATCTGTGGATTTTTCTTATTTCAGTGCACATTCCTCACAGCAACCCCCTGCTCAGGAAATACCATTCTCCTTTTCTTATATTAATTCATAAATACAAACCTTCCCTACATTTTCTTCAAATGACAGCTCACTCTTAGCGTACGTGTCACAATATTGAACATCAGTATCCACAGCACGCACTCCCACACAGCACTTCCACCACTCCGTAAAACCAGCCAAAGCAGAAAACACTGCGTGAATTAGTGTTGCTCCTCAGAACGTAAGTCCTTTTCGTGAGTGTAAAACATAGTGGGTGAACTGTTTAGTTTTCATTGGGATTTAGTTCTTCCTGGCCAGCTCAGGGTTTACATACATGTCAACCCAAAATAATATGCACATTTCTTGAAGATCTGTTGCTAAGCTGCACTGTGCAACCCTACCACAGTACTCGCAGAGCCCACGTACACTTTGGGAGGTGAATCTGAGTCCACCGGAAAAAAAGTGAGAGAAATAACTGTATCTTCCACGCTAATCTCCCTGAAGGTATGAAGCCTGCAAAGATGATTCCATATGTGTTCGTAACTGGCTGACAGACTGGAAATGGGATGAAAGTGGAGAAAACCGCTGTAAGGATAAATGTAGTCTGTACAGTGAGGTAAGAAAACCTGATCAACTGGAGCAGAAAAGATGGCATTAAGAATTCTTCTCTTTTTTTTTTTCCTGAATATATGGTTGTAAAATGCAACAGATTAATTAATTTAACTTCAGCAGTTTTAAGCCATACCTACTTCAGACTTTTTAAATATATAAATTTTAAAACATTTATGTAGATAGCTTGCTCTAAGTATATGTACATTTAATTATTCACTATTCATACCACTTCTGAACCAAAAGTAAAGGTTCGAGCAGCACCAGTATTTTACCCACAGTGGGGTTTAGAAAGTGGGAGATAAATGTACTTTGTTCATACAACTGAGACACTGAGATGTATTTTATAAGGCTCCTGACACAACGTGGGGCTTTACACAGCTGTGTCTTTTTTTAATTGGGATGTAAATTCCGGAATCACTAAGGGTTTTTCAAAGTTTTCATGCCTATTAGGCATCTTTGCCCTTTTCTCTGTTTTACCTTTTTCTGTTCAAGTCCTTTTCCATCTTCCAAATCTGTAACTCCCAACATTCTTCTGTCTGCCTTTTGTTCTCCATAGACCCTATCATGTCTCTGATGTGTGTTCTCCGCTGCATTTTTCAATGACTAGGTAGAGCTAACTTTGTTCTATGGAACTCTGATGGTTAAAAAGCAGCCCCGATAAGCTTTCTGAGAGCTCATTTCATCTTTCTAAGAAGGTTTAATGGTTGGGATAACTAACTTTATGAGCAAAAACATATAAAATGAGAACTGACGAGACTTAAAGGAGCAAGATTGCCTGGATTTTTTTCTAGTAACTCAAGTAAGTTTACCATCAGAGCAATATAATAAAGGTCAAACCTGCTAGATTCATTTCAATATTTTTAATAGTTGAACTTTACTGAGTTCATGAAAAATGTCCAAATTGCAGAAGTAAACAAAATTGAAGTGTAGTGCTTAGGAACTGATAGTAAGGCTTGCAGAGATCCCAGATTCATTGTTTTGAGTTCAATTCAAGTGTATGTACTTCCAGAAGTCATTTCAGCAACTGATATAAGTGGAAGTCACAGTCCAGTTAGTGCAGGATTGCTGTCTGCCTTGCAAAAGTGACACTAATCAGCAGCCTCAGGAAGATGGCCAAAAAACAAATGGGCTGCGGAAACTTAGCGCTTAGTTTCCCAGATGTGCTAAATCATCAGTAGTTCCAGATGAAGTGAAAAACGAAATCATAATCTCCATAAATAATCTCCAGTCCCTCTTCAAACTGTCCCTGGTCCAGAGATAGAAGCTTTTAACCTTGAATTCCCTTGTACTTATTTCTTAAAGAAAATATACCATCTGCAGGGGAAAACATGCAGCAAATCCAGAGGTCTTATCACTCGAAGCCAGACACAGCTATTCCTAAACTAAATGGAACCACACCCTAAACTGCCCATGTTTTTCACCAAAAATATGCTTGCATGCTAAGTAAGAGTAAAGTTTCCTCCGAGAAATTAAAAAAAAAAACACATTCCCCAGTTGAAAATTACATGATACACAAGCACCAGACTCGCCTGGTTTGGACTCAACTCATGGAAAAGATCGTTACTGTTCCCCAGAAACACAAATGGTTCTCCAGTGTCAGAGCACTGCGGACAGATGCTCACTTTCTTTTGATGCCCTCAGCCTGCACAGAGGAGCCATCAGCAGCCCTGTATTTGGCATTTGCAAGTGGTTCTAAGGACTGTTCGGAACAAATGCTGAATATGGAACAAATGCTGCATATTAAGAATGCACAATGGAGCAAAGCCAGCTTTAGCCTGTCTGAAATGAGGCACATTTTGTCATTGTTCTCCCAGCTGAGAGCTCCCCAAGTAACGTTAACGCACAGGCTAGAGCATTTTCCAAGAAGCTGAAGAATCAGAATCCTTTGCGGTAATTTAGGGACATGTTTGGTAAAAAGGGCTGTGTGCACTCTTTGCTGCAGCTTTCTGGCTATGCTTTGATCTTCAAGAAGAGTTAGGAAGAAGGTCAAAATAAAATTACAGATTTAGCAAGGAGAAGAGCATCAATATGTGTTACATAACTTGTGGGACACAAGAATGGGATGTAGCCATGTCTCTTGCACACAGAGCTGAGAAAACCCACATGACAGCTTTTAATATTGTCTGGAATTATTAGCTAAAAGCAGGCAGAAATCCAGGAACTATACAGAAGCTGGAAGAAAATGTCAAATGTTGCTTAAAAGCACAGGAATAGTGGGAAAGAAACAGCTAAGATCTGCCTGCCCTGAGAACACAAGGAGAAAACTAGATGCAGCAGCCTTTCCATTTCTGACCCTGCATTGCTCCCAGTGCAGTGCCAGCCTCCAGGCTCCTCCTCCAGCAACTGCAGCATCCCTGGAGCGAGCCATGGATAGAGATGGTGTGAACTGAAATAGAGAGTCCTTGGGATTACTTGGACTGGACTTTTTATTGTTCACAAACGAGAGATTCCTAAGGCAATAGTGATTAGTATGATTTCTTCACATTTGCCTTCCCGCACAGTATACGTCAACATAGTTTTGCATGTTGGGAGACAGGGAAACATCTCATAAGAATAACTTGTGGAAAATAGGTGGAGCAGAAGAAGTTGCAAAACTATAGATGCCCAGTCTCACTTCCACATAATAGACTTAAACCTGTGCTCATTATTTTTTTGCACACAGAGCAGCTCCCATGCACAGGGCACCTTACGCAAGATTCAGTGTGTCAGATCTTTACATGAGCCGGCCATGATGGTAAACCAGTACAGCATCCAGAAATTAAAGCACTAAGAGAAACATTGTAGGATTAAAGAATCAGCATCATGTGCAAGGCCTGCTTGTATTATTATAGATGAAACAGCTTCCTTCAGAGAGATGCTGGTGACGTGGTCAAGGTGAACCAGTCTGCAACGGAGCTCAACACTCCTGCTGCCTGGCCTGCTGTTTCAGTCATTACGCTCCCACTCCTTAATTCCCAAGGCCATCACTCCCACTCCAACTTCATTCTTAGCTTTTCTTCTGGGAGTATCTAAAGTTTCCTTTACAGAAACAGGAAAGAATGAACTTCAGCCACAAACACATGGGAGAAATGCAGGCAAAATAAGTATATAACCTGCCTACTTTGTGGCTGGATGAGGTAACTCCTAAGTTAATATTCATCAGGCAAACTCAAGCTGGGCAGGCAGAAAGTTGCTACAATGTAAGCTTGGCAAACAAGAAATATCTTTGTTGTGTGTTTATGTAGACCTTAAAAGACAACGTAGTACCAGGAACAGGATAGATTCACTTGAGGAGGGTACAAGAAGCTGCAGTTTACAGTTTCTTGAGCCAGAAAGGCCATTGCACCACTAGACACAGCACTCTGGGAGTTACATCTGTTCCCTTTGCCTGTGAGATCCTGCCCGGTCATGATGTACATTGCAGCAGGCACAATGAGATCCCACCAAGCTGTGACTTCACTGGGCTGTCTCTGGTCTTTAGATAGATAGAAAGATTCCTATATTCAAAGCACTGGCGGGCACTTTCAGCACTACTCTGATCCCAACACATGTCAGAGTGTCCTGACATGCTCCAAGTTGTACAGCCTCTCACACACAGCTTTGATTTGTCAGTCCAAGAAAGCTAGCTGGACTGTCAGCCCCAGGGTGGAAACAAAGGGCTGGCTGTTGATCATGCTGCATTTTGTGTAATCACTTGCTCTCACAACAGGCAAATCACTTTTGCCAGCTGTGGGACAGGATAACATTTTAAGATATCTCAGAAATGATGAAACATGGCACACAGCGAGACAGGGAATGACTGGAGACTGCTTTTTTATAATCTAGTACCATTTTTTTAAAATGCTATAACTGTTTGTAAGTTTGATACAAACTGATTTCAGCTCGATTCTTTTAAAATATAATTGATGCATTTCTTATCTGACACACAGATGTTCGCAAATGGGACTGATTTGTGCCGTAATATGTGGGGGGAGTCATTTAAGGTGAGCGAATCCTCCTGCCTCTGCTTGCAAATGAACAAGAAGGACACAGTGGCAATCAAGTATCTCCTCTCCAAAAGCTCAGAGGAAAGCTCCAGCAGCAGCAGCAGCAGCAGTGAGGAGCATGCCTGCCAAAAGAAACTCCTGAAGTTTGAGAAACTAAAGGGAGAAAAAGAGGAACAGACAAGATAAATGCTGGTGGATGTACATCGGGACAAGAGAAGTCATCATGGAGGCTGGGCTCAGGGCATTGTGCCAGCCTGCTTTATCCCCTACTTCCTAGAACACAATAAATCAATGGTTGGTTATATTAATCTTTCTCTGATGTTTTTGCATCTGCATCACAAAGCTCGCAGACAGGTTAGCACAGGTGTAATCTTGAACTGAACAGCTAGAAGCCTGAAGGTAACATCTAGGGGTTGGCTTTCAGAGAGGAGAAGCACAGGAAGCTCCTGCTCACTTAAGGTGGAACAGGGAGAGCTGGAGACCTCTGGAAGGCCGTGCCAGTAACGCACCAAATCTTCAACCCAAACCCTTCATGAGCATAGGCACACAGCACTCCCGTCAAGAGTTCCAGTGTGCCTGGCTCTGCTCAGATAAGTAAGAAATGCTGCAGGCAGAAATAGGTCAGTGAGCCTGACTACTGACCATTGCAAATGTATTTGTTTTGTATCTCCAAAACGTTCCTGCAGAGCAGGGGATTGCGGTGTACTAGATAAATTCCTGGATATTCCCAGTATACCGTATGCATGGTCTGTTGCACTGGGCTTCTACCTCATGCAGTAGCAGTTCAAAAGTCTCCTATAATATGAATCTGAGGCATAATTTTGAGAGCAATTAATCCCACTGAATGATTTCAAACAGAATGGTCTCTGACAAGCTGAAGTGTCAGGGAGGGCCCCAGTCAGATTTCTCCAAACTCTAATTCTGCTTTCCAGCATCACTGTTACAGTGAAAGCGAAACCAAAATCTGCACCAGTCCCAGCGGGACTCATCAGGTGAGGACGAATAAAATTCTGCTTTCAATTATAGGCAGGTTGGTGCCATTCTGTACAGCCTTTTTGTAGTGGTATCACCAAGGAAACCATGAGGGGGGTTTCATTTAGGGGGATCAGATTATTAAATTGTGAAAATTAGCATTATCTCAGTGCTTGCTGTGGAGCTAAGCACCCTACAGTATTTAAGGATCTGGCCCACAGTTAAAACAATGACTTGGCACACTCTGTTAAACTGGGAGAATCTTAAAAATCCAGCACACTTTCTTCACTGGGCTGTTTATTCACTGGAATGGTTTCACACAGCTGTAATGGTAATGCTAAACCCATTAGGTCATGCTCTGCTTCGAAGCAGCTTCTCAGTAAATTTAATGAAGGACTAATTCCTACCAGCACTGAATTGTTTTTAGAAAGATACTTTGCCATAGCTGTATTTCAAATTGTAATTCAAATTGTCAGTTCTACTGTTTGAAAAGAAAGAACAAGAATTTGGTCTTCTGTAAGGCTCTGACAGTCCTTTTTCCCCATATTTCACTAACTCCATTCTTTCCTGTCCTTCTTTACTGCACGTGAATCAGAGGAGAAATTTTGCTGCTTTTTATTTTACTGTGCTCAAAAGTCAAGAATTAATTATCCCCTCTCACTGCCTTAACACCAACTTTTTCTCTGTCACCATGGCCAGAGATTTCCTTCACGGTTTTTGTTAAGTACAGCACAATTGTTTCTGCCTGTGTCTCTGCTCTTTTTCTTCCCATTCCACTCTATTCGCTTTGCTCTGGCTAAATTACTCTTGAAATCACTCTCAACAAACAATTCTTCCATGCTTAGTTTCAGGATGACCCATGAGACTGGTTAGGGCATGCTCTTGAACAGGATCCTACAGCAGCTAAGGGACCAAGACCATTTAGCTCTTATTCATAACTTTCCCACTGACTCATGATGTACCCTAAGCAAACCATTTAACCCTTTTGTGACCCCAATAATTTTGCAGTTACCATACTTCCTCTAGGTCATTTCTTTTCTAAGCAGAAAAGTCAAGAACTACTCAGTTGTCCCTAGCATAGAAATTTTCCCATATCTCTTGGGTCATTCTTTAATTGATTCAGATACGTTTTATTCAAATACAAGTTATCATCCAGAAAGACTTTCAGTCTTGATTTAGAACTCCAGTGAAGAATTGTCCAATGCACCTGATAATTGTTTTCCTCGGCGTTAAAGATTATCTCTAATTCAACATTTGTTGTTCCAGCTTTCAGCCACTGGTTTTTGCTAAAGCCTGTTGTATTAAAGACTCCTTCAGTATTCAGCATTGCTTTTCTGCTCAGCAGCATATTCACGGGACCAAACTGCTTCTTAGCAATTAACTCTTTCTTAGCTCTATTTAGTTTATATATGTCATTATAACACATTCCCTCTGTCCTTAAATCATATGTAACGGTTCCTCTCTATACTTTCTCCAGTCATGAATATCCTCCGTAAATCGTACAAATCAAAGCCATACTTCATGGCAGCATTAAGGGCAGCTACAGAGAAACCACCATGTCACTGCCTCTCTACACACTTCTCCCTAATTGCACTGCCTGTGTCTCCAAGAGCATCATTCTGATTATTCGCATGCCTCCAGAGCCCATGTGTCATGAGTCCTCGTTTTCTCTTGGCATTACTCTTTTCCACTATACAGCTCCTTGGTCCCAGAGGTATGGACTATGATCTTAGCTGCTAGGCCTATCGCTTTGAACCTTCATGTGAATATACCAACCTTCCTAAGCCACTGTTTGCTCTGCCTGGCTGCTTTATGCTCTAGTATTTTACATCTTACAGTCTCCACGTCACTCAGAAATGCTATCAGTGGTGATTTTACACTTACAGAAAGGTGAGGATAACTCGGATAAAGCAAAATTAAAAATAACAGAAATCACTAAAAGTCAGATCACATCAATACACTGTAAAGGTGAACCAGGGAAAAGACAGATCCAAGTCACTGAGGACTGCAGACATCCCCAGCTAATGCTGACCTGGTTCTGTGAGTGTCTGCTCTGCATCACAGCTCAAAAGCGCGTGCTCTGCTTCTGGACCCACGCTGGCCCAGACGACTGAAACGTCTCTGTCTTCAGTGACACTAGACTCAAGTAAGATCTTTATCAAAATGTCACAATGGTACATCAAATGCTTTGTGAAATACGTTGTGAAATATGTTCCTACACTAATCTGTAGGAAACAGACTTACAACCTTTTTAAATAAATTAAATTGGATTTATCAACAAGACAGTGTTGATAAAACCGAAAATTATTGCCAGTTATTGACTTATTTACGATCTGGCCAAGTATCAGCTTTTGTAATGTGCTACTTGGGGCTGGTGTCACGTTAACCATAACACAGCCAGTTAGGTCATCCTGCTTGCTCTGTTTATTTAATTTTCTTTCCTTAAACATTGGCACAATACTATCAGCCTTCTGAAATTTCACTGAAATGCCAGGAGTTATTACAAATGAGATGTCTCTTGACAGTTCTGTTACAGCTCTTTAGTATAGGTTTTCTGAGCCTGACGCTTTGAAATTATTACTGTTACTTATAATGATGAACCTCATCTTTAATTACTTGCAGACTGAAAAGGATTTCATCATCCTTCTGTAATACAAATACTTTGTCCTGCATATATTTCAATACTAAGCACTATTAAAAAAAACTTGCCCACTGTTTCTTGTGCCATTGCAAGACTTTCTTCATCAGGTTACTCAGTTGTCTTCGCCTTCAGTTTAGTTGTGCCAGCCACAACTTCCTGCAGTACCTTTAGTATCCTCACTCTATTTTTATAGTTCCTAATTCTCCATGGATATTGATTGCAATATAGCTTCCTTTTTAAAAAATAATAAGCATCAATAATTGTGACATTTTCAAATTCTGTTGCATTTTTCATGTGCAGGTTTCACTCAGAGCATTTTATAAATATTCATTTATCTCCCAAATATACCTGAGAGGAAAATAAGAAATGAGAAGCAAACCGAGTCTGTGTGAGAGAGTCAGAGAGAGACTTATCTGATCATTGCAAGTATTGCACAACTAGGACTAGCACAGACAAGTTTTAGTTCAGAGCCTTATTTCACACTGCAAATGGTGTTGTGCTTTGTAAGGCAATTGTTGGACAGAAATTATTATGCAAAAATTATAAGAGAGATTTTATGAAATAACATATTGCAAAAAAATGAGCATACAAAAAACAGAACAAGTTATTAAACAATGCATTTCCATGTACCTTGAAGGATAACTAAATTATAAAAATAGTTAATTATTAAATTACTTAAGACAAATAATGTCAAAACAGGCTAATTTCCCTTGAGAGACAACCAGCCTACTGAAAAAGGGAAAGCTGTAGATGAGATATGGCTTTTTAAGGGTATTGATAACATATGATGCAACATTCTGATAAGCAAACCGCGAAAACCAAAACGAAATCACCATAACACAGGTGCACAACTGGTTAAAAAATATATTAAAATATTACTGTGAGTATGTTGTCATTAAACTGAGACAGGTCTTCTGTTAGGAATCCCAAAGGGTCTGTTCTGATTTTAGTCCACACTTGTTTTTACTCAGACAACCAAGTATGGACACTCTGAAGGACAAGGGTAGAATAAAAACGCTCTTTCTAACCAGAGAACTAGCCCAAGACTCCAGTGGTGAAAATAAGAGATGAAAAATGCTCGCATTGAAGAAAGATAAATCAAGGGAAAAAATTCATCCAGGGAAATACATGGCAAGGGAACAAAAGAGAAGCCAAGGAGCTGGGATGGGTAGTAGCAGCCTGCGCCGTTTACAGTTGAAATGTTACACTGTGGAAGTTTTAATCCTTAAGGCTTCAGTGTACGTTGAGCCCTGGAAGTCCTGACTCACGAAGCAAGCAGATACAGGATCAGAAGACACGCTACTAGCAGTTACTCAGATTTTGTGACGTATCTCACATTCCACGAAGGCTGCTCTTTCTGGAATGACCCCACTGCACACACACAGGCGATGGAATGTGGTGGGTATCAGGCAGAGTTTAACTCTATCCATCTTCCCCATGAAATGAGCTCACAAGCTCTGTCAGCACAAGGGCAATACCTTCCAGGAGAAGAAACATGCTCCTGGTATATCTCTAATGACTGTATAAAATGAAGTGAATAAAAATAGTTGAATTCAAGCACTTTTTCCGGTTCTTTTCCTTCCTTTTTTTCTGTTCAAAAGGTTTGCATTACTTGGAGTTATTTAGAAAAATGCCACATGCTCTAGACAGCTCATGGGTCTGTCACGTGTTTGCTCTATTATCCAGGGGAATACA